GTACTGACTACACCTAGTCCTTATCACTGATAACCGGTGATGGAAAAAGAATCGTGTTCTAATCCAAGCGGCAGCGCTCTTCGTGCCACCTGCGAAGTTGACTATCCTTATTTTCCCTTTCGCCTTCCTGTCGACTACGTCCTCGTGTCCAGGACTGACGATCTCAGCCGGCAGTATCAAAGGACCCTTTTCGAGCAGGTAAGAAAGCGTATTGTCTGATATCTGTCTTTGGAACTGTTTTACCCATGTGGGAATCAGAGTACAGCTACGGGATGGGGAAACGATTGTGTTAGCACGACTTTCCTTCCAAATTTCCTCTTGCTAGTCTTCCTCACGTTACTTACCTACCATCTTACCAACTTCTCCCAAATTTTCTACAGGACAGAAGGTGAGTGGGGGAGGGGAGACCATACACCCCCGACCGATCAACTATCAGACATAATAGTTCTGCCCCTTACCACGCTCGGGGTAATCGGGCCACCTGCCCGCTTTATTCCGAGCAAGGCAAACGATCTCTCCCCCCCTGCCCAAGTTTCATCCTTTGCTGTGACCCCTCTTCCCTCGCCTAACTACCATATTGTTGACTTTTAGTAACCAGATTTCTACCTCTTTGTCAGGGAGTATTTCAGAATTCCCCTTCCAGAAAACTGCCCTATATTGGAGAGATGCACATGAAAAACGAGAAAATCAGTGTAAAGTCTTTTTCTCTTGAAATCTTTGAAGAGGAAAGACTTTTCTTGAAACCGGATACGACCCCTCCCCTTCTCAAAGTGATGAGCAAATCGTCTGGGCTGGAGCGTCTCAAACGAACCCCTAGGTTGAAGGGATAGGAAGCAACAGGAATAGATTCGAGAAAAAAATTTCGCTCCTGTACTGGCTTAGGTGCACTGCACTCATTCAAATAGTCGTTTATGGGTGGATCAATATCCCTTCAGCAGCCTTTCCGTTCCGCTCCTTTATTTAGTGGTAATTGGAGAGTTGGGAGTTACTAGCAGTTGAGAGGGGGGGGGGGAGGGGAAGGTAGTGGTCATATTCGGAGTTTTCCAGCGATGTGTTCCGTTTATGTAGCCACAGTATGCAGAGTAAGTCAGTCCTTTTTGCGATCAGGGCAGGACCTACCGTTGGGGAAAAATCTTACGAAGTTCGACCTTCCCTCTTCTCCCTTCCCAATCCTCCAATCCTACTTACCGTGCTCCTAAACCGCCTTCTTCTTTTCGCTATCCCTTTTCTCTCAAAAAAGGGGTTATCGAGTGAGGGGGAGGGAGGTCCCGGACATCAAATCCTGACGTTGTACTCTCATGGCTAATCGAGTAATTATCCCCTCACTATAATCTTCCTCGCTATCATCTTCCAGGCTGCCCGTAAAGAGGGCCTCATCATCAATCATGAGTACGCGGGTCCAGTCTGTTTCACACTGATCAGTACGCCGTTTCAACGACTCTGTCGAGAAGCCGAGAAACTGCAATTGTCGTTTCCTCTTAGAGATGTGAGTACTCTTTTCTTCGAAGGTTCTTTTATTATTAGAACCGAACAGTGACCGCCTGGGCGATCTTCCAGTAAGGTTGGGCATAGGGGCTGGAAAGTGCGATCTTCCAGATCAATATGCATGTTTTCTTCAGTGTAGGAACCCCAATTCGCCATATGACGCGAGGTTATGGAACGCGCCTTATCGCCATTTTGTCTATTTAAATAGCATCTAGCTGTCTTTATCGGTCACAGATGCCATGTTCAATAGTAAAACTATGAGAGGGATTTCACGCGGCATAGATCCTAATTCTTGCCATACTCTAGACCCCTAACACACGGTATGGAGCAGCTACCGTCGCAACGCTGCCTCAAGGCGTTAGGTCTCAGTTGGTCTGCGATTTCAATCGATTACCGTAGATCATGACGAGAAGATCGATAGCATTACTTGGTTTGACTTCACGATATTTGCAGTGCCCAGTGAATCCAGCTGCTCCGGCGTGTTGTATCACTCTTTCCAACGCATTCATCACCGATGATACGGGTAAGTAGACGTTTGCAAGTCGCTTCCATAAACTAAGAATACTGAAAACCATAAAAACAATTGTTCGTGGGCTATACCAAACCCCCTTAAGCTCCTGGACTCATTCCTTACGGTTTTTTATGAGACAATAGGCGGGTTCTGAACTGGATCACTCGAAATGCGGATTATGAACGTACCCTCGGAGTAGCTCACGACCCGAATCTGCGGGCCATGGTCTCGCCTCGTGCCTGCCCCAGGACGCCAGTGTCGTACCTGTGGGATCGTATGCTAAGTTGCTTGGCCAGAGGAGGGGAGTCATATCGGAAGAGCTAAATTGAGAAGGAGAGAATGTCATATTTAGCAGAAACTCCCTCCGACGTCAGAAAATGCCTTGCTCCCAACTACAATAGCGCCTGATAATTGCCAATCATTGCTCCATCGTCTCGGAGCCTGTTCGCTCAAAATTGCTTCTCATCTAACGTATCTGGGACGGGTAGGAGCACTCGACCGCGCTTCTCCACCTCTTCCTTGATCAAGGCTTAGGCTCGCTTTGCTGGTAGCGAGCACTGTTGTTTTTTAATTATTTTTTCTCTAGGGATTGATCCACGTATAGAATAGTCGATAAATATATATTCAGTCTGGTCCATTTTGCTTTTTGCTGAAAAGTGCAGATAAACCAATAATAGTAAATTTTCTCAAAGTTCATTCAAAGTTCGCCACTTCATAAGGCTTCCGAGAACGAGCTCAAAGCTGGTTACCATGAAGATTCACATTGCAGTGGACTACATTAGTTGCGACATTCCTCGTACGGCACGGCGACACTCTTTTTCCAACTACACTAGATGAGAAACTATGGTTTCACTTCGCACAACGTTGATGAGCTGGACACATGAGCGTAAGCGCTTCTTAATTTGCCAGCCCTCATGAGGTGTTTCGAGATACCTTGGCATTCCCTGCAGTTATCAACTATCGAATTTTCTGAGGACAACTGGTCGTGCCTATAATTGCATTCTGCACCTTCCCAGCTCTGTAGAAATAAGAATATTACCTGGGTAACCATCTTGGAACCTAGTTGCGGGTGCTTTAGAAACTCGGAACGGCATTCATAAGACGTCTTCGTGTGCGCAAAATCTGCGAATCCCCGTAATGGAGGTGGGGAATTTTGCGTAACTTCGATAGGGGAACGACCTCCCAGGTGAGAGTGATTTTGTGTACTGTAATTCAGTTCAGGTGACTATAACTCTAATCTTGCGCAACGAATCCTTTGAATGTCATCCCTCCCTCCCTACGTTTACCTTTAGTGGAGTGTCTTTTCCTCTCGCACTCATCGTCTTACTAGACGCCCTAGTTCTTTCGTTTGCCATCTGTGATGGAACTGCAGCCTGCTTTTTCTTGGATTTGCAATCTGCATCTCAGCGCTAATGCGTTCGCCATATTCTATTCATCTCTGCCCCTTTCCTATCTCACTCTATATCACATCTGCTGCCCAGCAATCCTATGCCCCGTATGGAAAACTGCGAAGCAAATCTATTATGCTAGATATATGAAAGTAAAACTGCCACTCGAAACTCAGTATATTTGTGACTCGTTGGTTGTCTCTTATTCTTCGCGCACCGTCCGTTTTAGTTCCGACTTCTCCAGACAAAAGGTATATTTGTAGTCGTTCAACGAGTATGGAGGGCCGCAAATTGGCCTTGATTGGAGTCTACAATGTGTCAAAAGGTTCCCGAATATTAAGTGCGCTCCTGTGTGTTACCCTCGAGCCCTGGTCCGGCGCGTCTCACGCCGTTCTGGATCTGTGAGTAGGAGCGAGGTAGTCGAACACGCAGGCGAAGTTTGGCTATGCGAAGAGCTGTTCCTCACCGACTTCTCAGGAAACGCTGATTTTCCAACGCCTGCCGCAGGGGCTACTTGATCTCTCCGAATTGTGCATATGGTATCGAGTGCCACTCTCCTTTCACCCATGCCCTCTAAAAGATAGGAAATGATCAAGAAATTGTAAGCTTTATTGCAAACTGACTGTTATTCTCAGATCCTCACGCAAATCGATATTAGTCAAGAACTGGAGAAGACTGCACCACGCGACGCAGTCATCGAGACAGATTCCGAAAAGTCGGTGATAGCCGATGAACCGCTGAAACGAAAAGGTTGCAGTATCTGCGGATGGACCACTTACGCAGGGACTCCTTCATACTACCACGAAACGCAAGCAGATACTGTTAGCCTGGCTTTAACTGCACGTTGATTATTTGTAGAAAAAAAAAGATTGATTTCAGCCGTTACTTACAGGCTAATGTTCCACAAATAGAACTTTTGAAAATCCTTCAAATGTTCTTTATTTTCTAAATCAACACCATTGATCACCTATTATACACGCAAAAGGATGCCATGCGCTGTATCTCTAAGACGGAGTAGGGCATGACATTTCAAACATAGCACCGGATGGGTTATTGGTGGGGAATATTCCTGTTTTGAGAACCTGTACTCTTGTTACTCTCTTCCATCAGAGACACTACCACGGTCTCCAGACACTGAAAATCATGCTCAAGAAATACGCATGCTACGTCATTTTCAAGTTGGACATACGCGGCCACGCCCTGGCCCCATCTTGGATGAAGACTTTTGAGATGGCGTGTAATTAGGTTATTACTTCAGCCGCTGGGGTCTCGGAAAAACCGTCCTGTTCTCTGTTAAAAAAATGGCGTCAGTTTGCCATGATTTTGCAGTTCTTTGTAAGCCAATGAGTAATGGAATAAAGCGTTTGCCTGTACTATAAAAATTACATAGTGCTGTTTCTACTCTTTTATATTAAACTGCGAAATAAAATATATTTCAGGAGAGACCATATTTTCGAAAAATGAAGCAGAACTCCTTTGTCGCATACGTGGAGATGACTAACGAGATTGAAAAAGATTCTAGAAAAAGGCTGGGTGGTCTCTGGACCAGTAACCTCCGATTACTAATGTTTCCTTTCGTATCTCGTTTATTTATTTGTATTTTTGCGTTACTACGGAGAATTTTTTGTTCTGTGGAAACCAATCCTCATTTTTTAGTCCGCTATTCCGATGCTTGCCACGTTTTTTATTTGCTGACTCTTATTATTACAGAAAAATTTCTTTGGAAACTTTAGAAGACGTATTCCGCGATAATTGGATGGTTGATATGCTCCGCCTATCCCTCCCCTCCCTCCCCTATCTATTTATCAGCGGGCGGTAATTTATTTTCACGAGCCGCAAAGAATCCATATTTCTTTGCACAATCGGGAAACTCCGCCAAACTCGTTAGGGAGCTTTCTCGGAGCAACATTCAAAAGAGCACTCTGCTACGATCAGGTCGGGGGAGACTTTGAGCATGAGCCCTACTCATTGGCCCGCCTCCATTAATCGTATTAATTGTTGTAAGTAGCCGCCCATCTGACTATTGCGGAATGTTTCTTCAATGTTCATGCTTTAGATTCCTTCGCTTCCAACCACTAGGTCTCGTCCGCGAATATTTCGGCGAACAAATCGCATTCTATTTCGCCTGGCAAGGGACATTTCTCACGATGCTCTGGCCAGCCACATTTCTTGGTCTAGCTGTTTTCGCCTATGGCATGGCCAAGAGGTAGAATTTTCTTTCATTGCTTCTTCCCACAAGTAACACCAGGTCCTCCTGTCTTCCTTCATGGATTTTTTTAACTCTTTATCTGATTCAGTATTCGCACCAATCCGGCCACCTATGGGAACTGCACGTTGATCAATTATTACGGTGAAACTGAGATCGTGGCTTGTAGCATCAGAAGCAAGTTCGTTCCAATTATTTCAGTCACTAATTCTTTAAGATTACAATTTTAATTAGCTCCAAAATTTTTCTCAAAAGATAAACAAAAAGTACGATGTATTTTCAAGAAAAACACTTACGAACTGATGAGCATTTCAGGCTCTCACAACTCTTCACCACCGTGTCATCTTGGTTTATGAACTCATTCGACAACGAATTAAATGCCTTCTTTGCCGCCTTCATGTCCATTTGGGGTATGTTAGTTTGGACATACTTGATGCTGGAATGGGGTAGTTCGATCCCATGCCGTGCTGAGCGCGATGTGGCCTCATATTCAGCTTGCTTAGACGTTTCGGGGGCTCCTAGCATAGGGTACAGCTTCGTTGTGTGACACACAGGGGAGGGGGTCGTACTTTTCCTCTGAGGCGGGAGGGGTCGTATGTGGCTTCAAGAGAAGTTTGCCTGTTGGGAAAAATTTTTCCCGGTTGTTGACTTTTCGCGAGATTTCTCCTGTTTCCTGCTTCATGTGCATTATATACACATACCACCCCCCCCCCTTCCCCCCGCTCGACAGCAAAATGATTGGGGAGAAACAGGAAAATTTTTGGGAGATCCCGGAAAAAGTGGTAGAAGTTGGGGAGAATCTGGGGAGTGTAAGGAAAGTTTCCCGTTTCACATTGGCTATTAACCCACCCCCCCTTCCCCCACTTCCCTGAAAAACTGAAAAATGTGGGAAATCGGTAGGTAGGTGTTGGGGAAGAGGGGAATGGGTCGTGCCGAGACCCTCTTTTGGGTAGGGAGGTCGTACTGACACCACTATCTCACACATCTCGCTGCTGTACCATGCCTAGCGAGTTTTTCTGGCTGTAGACTCAAGCAGTCCATCACTGCGCCATTAAACATGCCTTGTTTCAGGTACAATGTTCTACCAGATTTGGAGACGAAACAACACAGTTCTGGCTTACGAATGGGACTGCGAGGACTTCAACCTAGTCGAGCCAGACCGACCTGAATACCAGGGAACCTCTATGAGAACGGTAAGTATGAAAAGAGCTTTTTACTACTCCCAGGCGAATCTGATGCCAATTAGCTGTCCCTGGAAGGATGAGCGGCTTGACTGGCCGGGGAGAGAATATCAATGGGAGTCAGAGTTGGTAATTTGTGGCTTATTCTCCATATTTCCCCATTGGCGGACGAGGTGAGGCGGATCAATGTTACTGCTTTTCGGAAGAATAGCCCTCCGGTTTGCACGGGCTAAAGGCATCACTCCACGATAACCAGAATGGGCGGTGACTTGCAACGATATTGTCTCACTCGTTAGTGCATCCACCCTTCCAATACGGTAAACAAAAAGTGCGCTACAGTGAGAGTGAGAGGCTCTTTCCATTACACGGCGTGCTTTGTGCCTTTAGAAAACGAAACTTTTATGATAATAAGGGCAGGTCTAGCCGCTGGAGCTGGGGGGGAGGGGTTGGAGATTTGAAAAATTCGCTTCCTCAAGGAGAAATACGACCGCTCGGCCCAGGGGCGACTAGGGCCTCTCTGCTGTTCCTGACTTCTAGACCTGCTTTCCCAAACCAATTCTGTTCAGGATCCAGTCACAGGGCAACCGGAGTACTTCAGTCCTGTCACTATACGAATTTTCAAATACACTGTGTCATGCATCGTTGTCGTACTGAGCATGTGCTTGGTAATCTTCAGCGTATTTCTCGTCACGGTGTATAAGCTATGGGCAGTAGCCAGTCATGAGTGTGGGACGGAGGTAAGTCTACTTATTTGTTCACTGCAGTTCATATCCGCCCAAGTGGGTGCAGCCCAACTACTTGAAAAACGATAGAGTGGGGCAGAGTGAATCAAGTGAGGGCAAAAATAGACTGTTTCGTCTTTCAGTACACCTTCGGATGCTCAGTGGTTGCAGCATATATACCTGCGGTGATGAACACAGTGTCCACAATGATTCTTGGCAGTATCTATGAAGGGCTGGTGGTGAAACTGACGCAATGGGGTAAGTTCAACCTCAATCGTTTGATAAAGTTCTGATCACTATGAAAGTAGGGCGCATTTGCCAGGGGAAGGGGCATATTGTACTTTCGCTACTTCTCATCGGCGTGTTGAGCCATCAAGTAAAGATCTTATAAAGCCGTGAAGTGATTCAGTCCGAGTTAGTAGCGACTATATCAACACTTGTCAAGCAATGAGCACAAGAGCGAGAAGTAGCGGAAGTGAAATTGTTCCCACCCCTTACCCCCTTCCCCTCCCCAGGCCCAAGTTGCTTCGAAAGTAAAACCTACTCCATCTAGGATCTTTTGGAATCTCTTTGAGTCCTTTTGCTTTCAGAAGGAAGTGTTGAAGAAGCACTCCATGATACCCAGATAGGCTTAGAGATGAGTGGGCGGGCTTCCACAGCAGGTGTGCTTCCCTCATTGGTGAATTCCTCGTTCTGTAGTGCCGGAAAGAGGAGCACGCTACTCAAAAGGACATTGTTGCTAGGCTCCGCCCACG